TTGAGCTTTTGAGGCAGGCGGTGGAATAGAACTCTTGATTTTGTAAATAGTCTTTTCTTTTCTCTTCTCTTCTTTTCCTCCCTCCCTCTTTCTTCTTTTTTAACAAAACCTGGCAAGAAGACTTTCTGTGTCAATGCAAGGCAAGACCAAAGCAAAGTTCAGTCTCACTTTAGGCATGCCTTATGAATTAAGGCAGGTGGAAGGATGAAAAGCAGCCAAATACACAGGTATTAGGCTGATGAGAAAATGTTCCGGGCTGGGGATTTAGCTCAGTGGTGCTGCCGCCTGCCTCGCAAGCACAAGGTCCCGAGTTCAATCCCCGGTACCAAAAAAAAAAAAAAAGATCTAGAAAATGTTCCATTTCCCTTAATTCAACAAAGGCATTCAGTGAGAATGCAGTTGCCAAAATCAATGCCTGGCACAGTATCAGGTGTGCTTTCTTTTCCTGTCTCTCATGCCACTGATGTTTGGACTTTCCCTGTCACCTAAATTTACATACAATGGACTAGCCAAGCTGTGGCAAATCTTATGAAACAAACTCTTTTTTTTGTTTTTTGCCTACTAAAATACATTTTTAACTAAATGCAAAGAAACAAAACAAAAAATCCCACTGTAGTTCCTTATTAAAATGTATTTTCAAGGCCAGGGATTTAGCTCAGTGGTGCCACCACCTGCCTCGCAAGCACAAGGTCCTGAGTTCGATCCCCAGTACCAAAAAGAAAATGTATTTTCAATTAGTTGTAAAACTAGCATCAACTGTTGTTTATACCCACATGGTACATTATAAAGTTTAACACCTCTGCCGGTTATTCTGTCTTGGAAAGCAAATGAACTGCAAATTAACACTGGGTTACAAGTGTCACCAGAACTGCTTTGGAAACATAAGTAGGCTGTACAAAGACATCACAAATCCCACAGTATCCAGTGTAGCCAAGGCCTCTTCTGTGTCTCTGAAAAGTCTTTGGATGAAATCACAGGACACTGCTGTCAGGCAAGGAGCAGATTACCGGCTGCTGACTTTCTGTTCTCCCTTCACGCATGTCAGCACCAAGATCACCAAATAGTGTTTTTGGGCTGCAGACGCACGCATAACCAGCACAGAAACCGTCAAGCACAACATCAAATAAATCTGAAGGGCTTCTGGTTGTTTCCTTCCTGGTAGCCCTGTTAGTTCTCACGCATGGGCAGCCAGAGTTCCAGGCGCCTCAGGATGATCACAAGGCTCTGGCACTTCTCCCAACGCTTGGCTCAGCCACTGTCCACTTCCGGCTCCTCTCTGAGGTAGCACCACGTGTCCAAAGCCACGAGGGAGGAGCTGAGGGGCAGCACTTTCCACCAGGGCCACGGCTGCCCCTTTCCAAGAGAACGCCCTACCATCCAGCCAGACAGGTTGGCTTTGCTGGAGGAAAACTGAATGGATGGTTGAGATCTTTCTCAGGCTCAGCTGGAGCTGCGCCTGAGCTGGGCCCCTAGGCAGTAGGTGTAGGCTTCACGAAGCCCAGCCCACAAGCCTCAGGTCGGAGGTCGTGTCACTTCCGTCACACAGAACAGGAGGTCCCCTTGTTTTCCCCGTTTACCTGAATGAATTTGTCAATTTGTATTTGCAAGATATCTATGTATACTTACTTATCTGATAGTTTTAAAAATTATTTTCTAGGACCGATATACTAAACAGAGAGAAGCTGAAAGCTTCCCCTCTAAAATCAGGAACAATAGGGGCCGGGGATTTAGCTCAGTGGTTCCGCTGTCTGCCTCAAAAGTGAAAAGTCCTAGTTTGATCCCCAGTACCAGAAAGAAAAAAAAAAAAAATCAGGAACAAGAAAAGGGTGTCCACGATCACCACTCCTGTTCAATATAGTTCTTGAAACATTAGCCGGAGCAATTAGGCAAGAGAAAGAAATAAAGGGGATATGTATAGGAATGGGAAAAAGTTATCATTATTTGCTGATGTCATGATACTTTGCATAGATTACCAAAACTCCACCAAAATACTCCTAGAATAAACAAAACACTCAAAAATCAATAACGTTCCCATACACCAATCACAAACTCACGGAGAGAAAAATTAGGGAAATAATATCTTTCACAGTAACATCAAGAAAAATGAAATACTTAGGAATTAACTTAACCAAGGAAGTGAAAGACCTCTACAATGAAAGCTATAGTACTCCAAAAAAGGAGATTGAAAAAGATATCAGAAAATGGAATGACATCCCCTCTTCCTGGATAGGCAGAATAATACAGTCAAAATGGCCATATTTCCAAAACTGTTCCACAGATTTAATGCAATCACAATCAAAATACCAGTAGCATTCCTTACAAAACTACAGAAAATATTCCTTAAATTCATATGGATCCAGAAGAGACCTAGAATAGCAAAAGCAGTTCTAGGCAACAGGGGGAAGGCAGGGGGCAGCAAGATCCAGGACTTCAAATTATACTACAAAGTTACAGTTATAAAAACAGCATGGTACTGTTGCATCTGGGGGACAAGCACTGCTGCTCTGCTATCAGAGCAGCCCACCAGGATCATAACTCAGCCCCAATAATAAATTAGAGGGACAAAGTTTAATGAAAGGAAGACACTTTATTTGTAAAGAGAAAAAGGAGAGAGAAAGGAGAAGATAGCTACCCTGATAGGAAAGAATCAGGGTAGGGGGCTTCAGAAAGACGAAGGACCCATGGGCCCCTTGTTCTCAGCTGTTTTTATGGAGATGAGGGATGACTCTTTCCCCTCCACCTGGAACTTGCTTTAACTTGATTAGCTTCCAGGCATCTCTGCCTATCATCATCTTTTCCTGTGGTCTGTGTGCAGCTTCTTTCTTGCTGTTTATTTGCTTGTCTTTGACCTACCTTTTAAATCCTTATCTTTGGGGTGGGCAGCTGGTTGGCAAGGGGGTGCCTTATTCTTGGTTAGCTTGGAGTTAGTAAGGGGGCATGTGGATATCTATTGTACTCTAATGACCCTCGAGGGAGTAATACCATGAGTTTAGAGTGAACACACCTGTATGTGAGTATATATGTTAGTGCATAGGTGTGAGTACACACTGCCTTAAAGTTAGTCAGCTTCTCTGCTTGTTTTTCTTATATTCTATTGGAGGTGGGGGCAGCTTATTGTTTGTGCACCTGGCTTTCTCTCTTTGTCCTGCCTGTCAGCTCTTTTTCTGGTCTCTTGGTGCAAGTCCCAAGGCCATTTGGTGCCTTTCTTTATCTGTTTTTTTTTTTTTCTATCTCTGTCTGACTTGCTTCCCAGGAGAATCTCTCTGGTAAGGTTTGTTTTTAACTCACTCCTTCTAGTCAGGATTAGCTAAAAGACCAAAGCCAGGTGTGGTGGCACATGCTTGTAATCCCAGCACTTGGGAGGCTGAGGCAGGAGGATCACCATGAGTTTGAGGCCAGCCTCAACTATATAGTGAGATGCTATATGGGAAAAAAAAGATCTAAGGAGGCCTCTATTTTATTTTCTCATCTGTAGATCCCTGTCCCTACAGTTTTAGCCAAAAAACCAAACCAAAACAAAACAGACTTGTGGATCAATGGAACAGATTAGAAGATGCAGAAACAACTCCAGGCACACACAGCTATGTTATTTTTGGAAAAAAGGGGCAAATCCTTTCACTAGAGGAAAGATAGCTTCTTAGCAAATGGTGCTGGGAAAACTGGCTATCCACATGCTAAAGATTTAATGTAGATGCATATCTCTCACACTGCACTAAACTAAAATCAAAATGGATTAAAGATCTAAGCATTAGAACAGAAACATTTTATTTGCTGGAAATAATATATGTAAAACCCTTGAAGACATAGGTGTAGCCAAAGACTTTCTGAACAAAACCCTGGTTGCACAAGAAATAATACCAAGAATCGACAAATGGGATCACATCAAATTTACAAGTTTCTGCACAGCAAAGGAAACCACTAATGGAGTGAAGAGACAACTTATAGAAGGTGAACAAATTTTTGCCAGCTACTCCTCAGACAAAGGGCTAATAGGTACAATCTATAAAGAACTCAAAAAAGTAGACCCCCAAATTTAAAGATCCAGTCCAAAAATGGGCATCTGAAATGAATAGACTTCTTCTCAGATGAAGAAGTACAAATGGCCAATAAATACATGAAAAAATATTCAGCATCACTGGCCATAAAACAACACAGATTTCATCTCACTCCAAAAAGAATGGCTGTCATCAAGAAATCAAGCAACAACAAATGCTGGTGAGGCTCTGGGGAAGAAGAAATCCTTCTTCATAGTTGGTGGGATTATAAACTGGTACAACTACTGTGGAAGTCAGTATGGAGATTCCTCAAAAAACTAAAAATAGAAATTCCATTTGACCCAGCTATTCCCCTTCTAGGTATCTTCCCCAAAGATTTAAAGATAGCATACCACAGTGTTGTATGCATACATATGTTTATAGCAGCACAATTCAATAGCTAAATCCTGGAAGCAGCCTATATGTCCATCAACAGATGAATGGATAATGAAAATGTGGTATTTATTATACACAGTGGAGTACTACTCTGCCATAAAGAAGGATAAACTTGAGTCATTTGTGGGGAAATTGATGCACCTTGAGACCATAATGTTAAGTGAAATAAATCGGACATACAAACTTAAATATTGCGTGGTTTCTCTTATCTGAGAAGCTCAATATATAAATTGCATAATAAAAGACAGGAAAAAAGAGAAAAAAGTTATTGTAATCCAGCATTGAAAATGTATCTAAAAGTGAACCTTGATTTAGTATAATTGTCTTATGTGTTTGTTTTAAATGTTCTTTGGCCTACTAGTCTGGTTGAATCTGTAAGTATGATAATTAATACTATAAAGACGTATAAGTAAATGAATCTGATGCTGGCAAAAAACGGGGGTGGAGGGGAAGGGGAAAAAAGGATTAAGATGTGTTATGTACATGTGCCAATTCCTCACAATGAATGTAACCATTATGTACTACAAACATGGACTAATAAACTTTTAAAATATAAAAATTATATCCTAGGAAACATAACTTTTGAAACTATGGTGGAAATTCTCCGAGATAAACCAAGTGGCATCAATATGGAGGGAGGATTCCTGACCACTGCGAGCATGGTTTCTGTTTTGCCTCGAGACTCCAACTCTCCTTGCATTCACTTCTTCACAGGGACTCCTGATCCTGAGAGGTGAGCTCACAACAGACTGTAAACCAGCATGGGGCCATGGGAGGGGTAAATAAGACAATGATCTTCTGGTGTATTTTTTGTTTAGATTTTAGTCAGCAGTTTCATATGTATATAACTTGTTCTCATTTTTTATGAGAAGAAAAGACTAATAGTTTCTAGTTATCCCAACTCATCTTTCCCACAAATATATTTAGCACTGCCAGGAAAGTGGATAGCTTTTCTCACTCTGATTTCAGACATTATGGCTTTAGATGATTAATAACAGCTACTAAGTCAGTTAAATGATGTAAAAGAAAATATCAACTTTTGTTACATCTTCAGCACTTTTATAAATAGGACTACCTTGATTTAAGTCAATATCTCTTACAAAACTTAATGCACATTACATTTAAAAATGATTCTAAAGGGCTGGGGATTTAGCTCAGTAGTTTCACCGCCTGCTGCGCAAGTGCAAGGATCCGAGTTCGATCCCCGGTACCAAAAAAAAAAAATGATTCTGTAACCTGGGGTTGGAGGTACATGCCTCTAAGCCTAGTACTTGGAAAATCAAGGCAGGAAGATTGTGAGTTCAAGCCCAGCCTGGACTATATTATATAGTGAACAAGTTCAAGGCCAGCCGGGGCTACAGAGTGAGACCCTGTCTCAAAAACATTATTATATTCACTGCCCCTCAGTGTTACAGTCTTTCATATTACTAAAGATATCTTCAAGAACATAGAATGAAACCTGTGCCCTCTTATCAACAATGGTACTAATTTCCCTAAACTGTAGTCCTCAGCCTATAATATTGAGGATTATTTTTTCTCTAGGAAATGGCAAACTATGAAGTCATTGACAGTGTTTATGTGCCAGATTGTCTGTTAGGTCTGTGGGAATATATGGCTAAATACAGCATTGACTCCTGCCCTAAATGAGATTCTAATATAATAAAGGGGATAGACATGAGCATAACTAACATGCCAGGAACACATTAGTATGTAGCATTATTAACAGAAACTTTTAATTGTTGGAAGACTTGGAATAATGCTGCATAATTTTTATATTTTGCCACACCAACTTAATAAAGACTCTTTCTCCTAGATCTGTTTTTAAGCCTTTTATATTTGTGCCACATATTTCACAATTATTGGATACCTGTTCACCAACATTTGAACTTGAAGATCCAGTTAAAAAGAAGGCACACTTTAAGCCTGACAGAAGACATCCACTCTACCAGAAACACCAACAGGCACTGGAAGTAATTGATACTAATAAGGTATGATTAAATTATATTATTTGTTGTCTGAATAAGAATAGTTTATTCTGGGCTGGGGATTTAGCTCAGTGGTTTTGCTGCCTGCTGCACAAGCACAAGGACCTGAGTTCAATCCCTGGTACCAAAAAAAGAGAATAGTTTATTCTGATTCTTTTTTGTTATTTTTGATACCGGGGATCAAACCTTGTGCTTGCCAGGCAGGCGCAGCGCCACTGAGCTAACTCCCCGGCCCTCAATAGGAATAGTTTAATATGTGATTCAGTCCATATTTTGAACCTTGGAGTGTCAACTCTCCCCTTTCTTCATGTAAAAAGAGATCTAGGAATTGTTTAGATGCACAGACTATAGTAGAGCTGTATTTTTTATACCTTTGTTTAGGAAAATGTGGGCTATGATTCCCAGAGAAATTCAATATATTAAACATAATAACAATAGCTAACATTTATTGAGCCCTTATATAACCATTTTATATGGATTATTTCATTTAATCTTTAGAACCGTTTTATGAGGCAGGTACTCTTATGGTCTTCATTTTATTTGTAAGGAGTCTGAGACTAGGAGAGGTTAAGCAAGGAAAAGGAAAGATAAGAAGGAAACGAAGAGCTGTCTAAATGACTCTGCAGTAAAGAAAAAGATTAGCTGTCTCATCTTTTCTGTATTATTTCTTCCACCTGCTGAATTTTCTTGCCTATAATTCCATTTACTTTGGCAAGGTGTCAGCATTTACATTCTGCCTACCTTTAAATGAATTAGTGTTTCTCCAGGTAATAAATTTATTTTTACCCGTAGTATGTTTGCATAGCTGCTATGTCTTGTTCACCCTTGACTATTTTGCTTAAGCTTAAAGTAAAGAACGTTGCCAAACTCCTATTTGCTAAGAATTCTTGGTGCTGCTCCTGCTTTATCTGGGGCCAGTTTGTTTTCACTTCTGGCCTACAGTCTCAACATTTACTTTCTTGAAATTCTTTGGCATGAAGTAGGGGGCACTAGTTGCCCTCTTAGTATCCTAAGGAGGACTAGTCCACAGGGCTAGAGCCCAAACTCAGATGGGTGCAGTGAACAGTGATGAGCGCCCCGGCCCCTTGCACCCCTGCCAGCCCCTAAGTGATGTAGCATCTCAGGGCTTCTGCTCTGGTCCTTTCACTCGCCCCAGAGCAGCCTCTGCCCAGCCCTCACTGCTGGCTCCTGACAGCTCTCAAGTGTTTTCAGTCCTCTTTTCCCCCCGCAATACTGCCTCTGGGAGGTGAGTATTATAGACTATTAAATACTTGTTAAACTAAATTAAATTGCCATTTGACATTTTTTTGCAAAGTAATGTTCAAATAAAAACAAAGCTGGTACTATTTTAGGTTTTATTTCATAGGCATTAATAGTTGATTGGGAATTTAAAATGGAATAGAAATAACAGAATTTGAGAGAACTGTTAAAGAGCTGGGTTTTAGTCCTAGCTTTATAAATAACTACTTTTCTGTTTTAGGGCGAGCCAATCCTACTAGTAGTTTTAATTTACATTTTTTTGATTACTAGTGAGATTGAAAATGTGTTTATTACTCAGATATCCTTTTACATGACTTGACTATTTTTTCTTAGCTATTTCTTAAGTGATTCTGGGTCACTTTTGCTTGTTACCTCAAAGAGGCAAAAACATAAATATTAACTCTGTGACATTGCATTTTTTTAAATGGAGGGAGTTGCTGCATTGCCCAGGGTGACCCCAGACTCCTGGGCTCAAGTAATCCTCTTGCCTCAGCCTCCTAAAGAGCTGGGACTACAGGTACAGTACATACTACCATGCCCAGTTTATACTCTAAATTTTTAAAATCTCAGTTTATTGATTGACATTTAACATTTTTTTTGTCAGACAAAAAAATGTTAAATGTCATCAGTTACATTTGTTAGTCTTTTCCTTTAAGGCATTCTGATTTCATGCTCCAAAAAGCCTGCCTTGCCTCAAAATGAATGTAACTTTTGTATTTTTTTTCCAGAATGTATGTGTTTTTAAAATATTTTGATCTTTAACTCATCTGGAATTTGTTTTGTGTATATTGTTAAGTAGTATGTCTAAATGTGTTTTCCAAAAAGATAGCCAATTATCTCAATACCATTTATATATAAAATTCATTTTTTTCTCCTGACATAAAATGCAGTTTTTCATACAATTGTATGAAAATAAAATAACCAAACTAGAAGTAGAAACCAGAATGAACAAACCTTGTCTACAGAGGTGGGTTGGAATTTGGTTAGATTCATGTAGTATATTTATTTTTATACTTTTAATTGTTCAGGAAAAAGCCAAAACAATGTTGGACGATATGAGGAAGGTGGAGAAAGAACTATTCAAAGAGATGGAATCAATCCTCCAAAACAAGCATCTTGACGTGGATAAAATTGTTAATCTCTTTTCTCAGTGTGCAAAAGATGAAATTAGAATTTATGAGTCAAATATTAGTTCTTAGTGATTATATAAGTGGTTAAAAATCTTCCTCAAATCTTGAATTTATTGCTATGGTAAATGATATATACATACGTTGAGCAGATCTGATTATTCTTTAATGACATACAAGTGATAGTTTGTTGATGAAATATAGTCTTGCTGAAATACTAAGAAAGGAACATTGGAATCGAACACATATAATGTGATAGCTAGGTGGAACTTTAGGTAATGTGTTATTTCTTTTAGGCACAATGACTGTTTTTTTAATCACAATGATTATTCAATCTGCATAAAGCATGAAATATTAACATGATATATAGATCTATGTTTATTATATCCAGAACTCAGATTTTTAGTATTGAAAAATATCTCAAATGGTGAGGGTTTTTCTCTGGTTTTTTGTTTTTTGCTTTAGGGAAACATTAACCAGGTTTTAACAAGAAAAATTTCCAGATTTACACATTTTCTTTGTCATTATAGTGTATTAATTCTGTAAATGCCCTTTTACGAAACCCAACATACTCTTTTTCACTATTTGGCTGAGCAATGAACTTACAGCTTTAGTCATCCTGCCTCTTTCCCTCCTCTCCTTCTCCCTTGGAAACTACAAGATCAACACTTTATCTTTTTATTGTCTCTATAGTATTGCTTTTTTCCAGAATATTATATATTTGGAATCATACAGTAAGTAGCCTTTTCAGATCAGTTTAACTTACTAGTAATGTATATTTAAGATTCTTCAATGTCTTTTTAGAGCTTGTTAGAGCATTTGTTTTTAGCATTGAATAATATCCTCTTGTCTGGATGTACTATTCCTTGTACTTTGCTATGTCCAAATTTTGGCAATTATGAATAAACCTACACATATCCACGTGTAATATTTTGTGTTGCTGTTTTCAACTCATTTTGAGTGAATAGCAATGTACAGAATTGCCAGATATTACATTAAGAGTATATTTAGTTTTGTAAGAAATTGCCAGTCTTCGAAAGTGGCTACCATTTTGCATCCCCACCAGCAATACTACTCCACATCTTTCTGAGCATTTGTTGTCGTCAGTGTCTTGGATTTGGCCACTCTGATAGGTGTGCAGTTGTCTCTCATTTTTTTATGTTATTAGTTTTACACAGGATCTCCCTACATTGCCCAGGATGGTTAAGCTCCAGGGGTCAAGTGAACCAACCCCCTCCAATAGCTGGGATTGCAGGCACATACTACTGTACCCAGCTGTTTCCCATTTTAATTTGCAGTCCCTAATGACATATGATGTTGAGCTCTTTTTTTTTTTCTTTCTGGTTCCAGGGATCAAACTCAGCACCTTGTGCTTGCCAGGCAGGTGCAGCGCCACTGAGCTAAATCGCTGGCCCTCTTTCAGCTTTTTGAATGCCCCAGTCTTTCCTCATGGCTGTGGCCTTTGTTTGCACCATTCCTTCCATGCACACCCTTTAAATAAGTAGTTCTTTACATCTTTTAGTTTTGGAAAACATGAGGTCCTTAGGGACATGACATTTTCCTTACACTACAGGTCAGGTCTCTCTTGAATACCCTTGGAGCCACATGTGATCCTAATCACAAATTAATTCTACTTTTAGCATCTTTCACCGTAGAAGTTCTGAGTATAGGAATCGTATTTGTCCTCACTGGTGTGTGCCTTGTGTTCAATACTGTGTCTGGCACATGCTAGATAGTAAGTATTCATTCAGTGAACATCCAAGTATAGTGATAGAATTTACACAGCTCTTTTCTCTGCCTATGGAAAAATAAGGTGGAGAGAGCCAAGTGTGGTGATGCATGCTTGTAATCTCAGCAATTGGGAAGCTGA